CACCCCCCCCCCCCCGATCCCAATCGTGCACACCAGGAAACGACTCCGGACGTGGCTCTACCATCGCTGAGACCAGCGTCAAGCTCCCTCCCAGGCTCCTTGTGCTGTTGCGAGACCTGGTGCTGGATGCCGGGGAAGCAGAACGGCGGCCCTCTCTCAGGTCGAGGCTGTGGCCTCTGCTTACTAGGGCTAGTCCGAAGGAGGCGGAGATGCTGCAGGTGACTTTCTACGACTTGTACGACTCGACAAGCCCAAGAATGGCGGTGATTGGACGTGCACCACCGCGACACACCCCCTATTGGTGGTGCTTGGTCTGGTCTCTGCCTTTGGTGTGGGTTATTCTCTCCTTTGAACTCGTCTGGTGTCCGTTGAACTCGTCTGGTGTGCTCACAGGAGTAGTCTACCTATGACATAACATGCCGAACGTACGCGTTCTTTGTAGTTGTTGTCCCCGTGCTGTTGGTCGGGCAAAACGACACCCCTTAGATGTGTTCTGGCGTTAGCGCCTCGCTTTCACCGGTGTCACGAGGTCATCTTCTGTTCGGTGTGTCCTGCTGTTGCCACCGCCTCCCCCCTTTCTCTTGCCGTACAGTAGAAGGCCCACACTGCCAGGACACCTGATTGTGAACGCGTTGGTTCTCTAGATTTGATCGTGAAGTGGGGGGTCCAGAACACTGGAGCGCCCGCACAGACTACATTCCTGTGCATACTTATTATACAGTCCACTGTTGTCACCTCTACTCTTATGGCCATCAATGGTTGGTCGGAATGGTCTCAACTGTCTCAACTGCGCCCCTTGTTTGTCTTGGGCGTTCAATATTCCCGGATGTAGATCACGCAAGTAGTGTAACTTCTGCGCTACCCCGGCGCCGTGTTGTGGTTTCAGGCCGCCCAGGTCCTGACGAGGCAGGCCGCACTGGTGCTCAACATCGGGCGAGAAGGGGCAGGAGGAGGGTCAGGACCAGGAATGATTGAGGGTGGCGGCGGAGGGGCGGCGGCGAACCGAGGGACATCCTGCGATTGGTCGTGGGTACGGGGGACGCTAGGACAGGTTCGATGCTCCGGGGAAATTTTGAGATGTGGTTCTAACTTTATGCGTTGCCCGCAAGACTCTACCCCTCCCACACACACCAACATACACACAGAACTCTTATCCTCCTATTGTTGTTCCTTGTTTAGCCGCAGTGCTCTGTCAGCAGCGCTTCAGGGCCCCTTCGTGTCGTCTACGGCACCACGTCCGTCGCACCCCTACTTTCAACCACGCGGCTCCTTCCTAGCAACTGGTTCTTATACGTCCCCCGGCTTTAATTTCAGTTTCGGTGCGACATGGAAATACCTTTTAACTTCAGTGTCCCCCGCCAACTTCATGATCCTCCCCTGATCTACCTCTCCGCATCTCAGATAAAGGCTGCGCTGCCCCTCCTTCGCTCCGTGGACGACCCTCGGCTAGTCAGCATTGCCCTGGCCCTCTGGTTCTCCGCCGCGAATGCTGCATTTACTTCGTCGTCAGGAACCTCGCCAGGTTAGGACAAGAAAAACTCTTGTTGGGATGTTCAAGGAAGGTTCCGCATTTTGTTGTGCAGAGGAAAGGGGCGGGGATCGCGGGCAGGTATGTTCGTAGAACACGTTGAAACGGGGCTTAGTTGCTTGTAGGAGCTTTTGTCTTTCCTGAATCAATGGGTACCTGCTCATCGTCATGTACCTCGCAAAATCGTAGGGTTCGCCGAGCAAGTCTTGGGTTGTATCCCAGCAGGGCTGGGTTGCTCAGGATTGTGCGTACGCACATGTACCTTCACCAGGAACATTGCCTCTAACGTTCCGTTTTTGGTTCGTCCTTTCTGATGTATGTCTTTGTACTGCTCTGTGCTCGGTGATGGCAGTCGAAGCTCGGGAGGCCGAGAAGATCGGTGGCGCGGTCGTTGTCAACCTGGTGCACGGGGAGTTCGGGGAACGGGTGAGTTGTCTACGTATTCTCTCGTGGTCTCGTCCGGCGGGGCGTACTACGTAAAGTGTTCCCCTGCACGCCAGTAACAACGCCAAAGCAAATTGAATGGATTCAACAAGCAGCAGTTGGTTTTGTCTACGCCCACAATGAACCTGCCCTTTGTCTTTTTACCTGATCTCTGATTGGTCGAATTCGTTCGAGACGGTATATATCTTGTCGCTGCGTCCTCGTTCGCGAACGCCAGAATCAAGGTGCGTGCAATTATTGCTCGCTGTGTTTCGGCGACGACGCAGTCTCGATGTCGGCCGTGAAGAAACTCATGGCGTGCCTGATGCACTCCTCACTCCTTGCTGTGTCCGCTTGGCGAACCTCGGTTGCCGGAAAAAAGGCGAGTGCCCAAGCAATGCACGTGCTGGACGAGCTCACGGCTGCAGATGACACTGTGGCGACTGGAAGTGGTTGCATCCAGGTTCCACCCAGGTGTGAGGTGCCCTTGACGGTTTGCGGAACCGTAGGGCTTCGCGTCATGTGGCAGCAGGCTTGGTGATCGCACCGTGTGAATACGTTAATCCTTGACTTTGTTGCCATGCACGAGGCCACCATCCACGGATAGAATCGGAACCGCGAGCAGAGAGGATACAGTAAACTTACCCCTACATTGGTTGTGGAATCGCTCCGCTTCACTTATACTCCTTGTCCAGGTAGACAGGCGGGCAGGGCAGCGTACAAAACGATACGATCCGACACGATACGATGCGGTATGACCTGAGGGGTATGGCCTGGCGGTAGAAATCGAAGGAGACATGAATGCCGCACATGCCGGGTCTTGTCGTTCAGTGTTGTGCCCACCTCATGACCATGTTCTCTCTCTCTATTTCTGCCTCCTCTTTCTCTGGGTGCCCCGGCCGTGTTTGGAACGGCGCGCGTGTTCTTTTTTTTTTCCATGTCGTCCTCTTCTCGACTTTGGGGCACACGTATCAAAACGCTCCGTAAGTTCGCAACGGGTCCAACACACACACACACACACACACACACACACACACACGCCCGCCCCGCTGCTCGTTCGCCTACTTGCCTACCAGGCCTTCCCCGGTCTATATGCCCGTTTTCGTCGCCCTTGTTTGAGCGACGCAATACCCCTCCTGCCCCTCCCGCCCAATAACGATGCCAGCTTCGCCGAAGCTATGGCTCGACACGGCCTTGGCGACCCTCGCAAGCGGCCCTTGGCGGCGTCCCGCTTGACGGCCGCGCTCGCCGTTGTCCTCGGAGGGGGTGACGGCGTCGCCGCAGGTCGTGGTGGTGCTGGTGCTTCCGCGGCAACGCGGTCGGTCCCGTCCTCGCCATTGTTTTCGGCTGTTCTCCTTCGAGGAACGGTGACCTCTGGTCCTCCCGGTAATGCTGCTGCTGCCGCTGCTGCTTCTCATGCTGCGGCTGCTAGTTCCGCCGTTGTTCTGGCTGGTTCTTCTGCTGCTGCCGCCTCCGCCGCTCGCCGGATCATCGCCAGCAGCTGCACGGCCCTACACGGGCTCCTGCGCTCCGACGGCTTAACTCCCAAGAACGTCAGCCTTACCGCCGCCGCCGCTGCTGCCGCTGCGCAAGCCCTCTCGCCTACTCTCGAAGCATTTGTAGAGGTCTGCCGTGCTGCCGAGCGTGCCGCAGCGTCACCCGCAGCAGCAGCGCCGGCAGGGCAGGATGAAGGAGCCGCCGCCAACGGCTACCACTGCGGACACGCACGCTTGCCGGCGGGACAGAACGAAGAAGACGCTTGTAGCTGGCGAGAGGCCCGCCGCGTGGTGTCCTCGCTGCTGGACTTTGTTGACGGGCTCCTAGGGGACGAGACCAAGCAAGGCTTGCACCCGGCGGCCCATGGCCGACTCCAGGCCGGGGACGGTGTGTTATCATCCCCTCCTCTCCGGCGCCACGGGTCGCTCACAACCACCCCATCGCTGGCCAAGAGTGGTGCTGCGAGGAGGATGTGGATGGAGGTGCGGGGGCTCTGTGGAGGAGAGGCGAACGCCAGGGTCGCCGCGTCGCGGCGGCTGGCGGGTTTGTTGAAAGAGGCGACGATTCCGGAGGACGAGCGCGGCGTCAAGCAAGGAGGGGTGAGGTGCTGGGAAGTCGACGGTGACTGTTTTTCTGGCGTTTCATGGTAGCGGGGCACCGGCTTGTTCACCTTCGCTGAACTAGAGTGTAGATCAGAGCTCTGTCGGGTTCCCTGCGGGCGTGCCTTTGTCCGTGGTACAGGTTACGCATGCGACTGTAATTGCTCCCGACCGGCCTCGTAGAAAAGTTTTCATGAAACGCCTCCCATGGTTTTTTGTTCTCCAATCCTACTCCTTTCGTACAGACCCATGGCCCGGAACCGCCCTATCTCTCCAAGAGTAGCTACTACAACCCCGGTCGCCTCCCTGCACAACAAACCGCTGCCGTCGGTCCAGCAAATCGTTGTTGCTCATCGACTTCCCGCCCTCCCTCCACCCAATGTTCTAATGATTACGGCATGCGTTTACACCTCGCCCTCAGGTTGCACCGTTCCCTTTCCGCTACCTGGATGATCCCCTTCATCGTCCGTCATCCGCAACCCCTATCGCTGCAACGGTCGCAAATAGCGGGGAGAGCGGCAAACCGGCGGCGGCAAAGGGGGCGCCGTCGGAAGGCCGTACGTTGTCGTTCTCGGCAGAGCACGTAAAGAACCTGGCGGACGTGGCGGGGGCCCCGTCGCTGGAGGGGGGTCTGCGGAGGGCGGCCGCTGAGCAGCTTCGGGGGGTGCTCGTGTCGCCGGGCGTGGCTGCGGTGGTGCTTTCGGACACTGGACAAGAGGTGTGAGACACGCCAAAACTATGTAGTATTTGCTTGTCGTGGGTAGGCATCGCTGCAGTTTGTAGTGGGTTTCGATGAAAGACTCTTTCTTTATTGCCGGTTACCGTAAGAATCGGGGTCTTCGCACGGATCGGCGTCTCCGCACGGGTCGGGGTCATGGCACAGAGGTGCGGAACAAAAACCGGGTTCCACATGATTTAGTTCGATTATCGCACAGGGATCGGGGTCTACGCACACTGTGCAGAGAACCCGATCCCAGCAATGAGGTTGGGCGCTTCCAAGAGCGGTGTCCAGTCTTGTTGTGCGCTAAACAAGTAGGGGCGTGTTTTTTTCCTGTGTTTTGACGAATCATGCAGGACTACCTTTCACGTGGAGTACTGCAATGTCCGCTGTGATTTCATTTGGAGCGCACATATCGGAGTCTTCGCACAGGGTGTGCGTTCAAAGCACCCCACCTTACCCCCTTTCAATTTTATTCAATACCGCACATATCGGCGTCATCGCACGGGGTGTGCGAAAATACTGTACAACGAAATCATTTAATTCGATTTCCGCACATGTATCGGGGTCTCCGCACATATCGGCGTCTCCGCACCCCTGTGCGAAGAACGAAGACATTTAAAAAGGCGACCGCACAGTGTGCGAAGACCCCGATTCTTACGGTATATTGGGGATAGATGCTCGGACGACCCCGCGGCGAAGGTTTTGTCGTTAGCGGCACAAGCATACCTTCTGACGCCGTTCCCGTCAGCACACCTCCCCTTCCCCCCCCCCCGACTCAACCAACCCTAGGACCTCTGCGAGAGAGTTCTCAGCGCCGCGTTGTCGGGACTACTGCCGCGTACGCCGCCGCCGCCGCCGCCGTCGTCCCCAATCCCCTCCCGGTCCGACGGCGACCGAAGCGAAGACCCGTGGCTATCGCCGCCACCACCCTGTCCGTTGCCGGGTTTCCCATCGACGGCGGCGGCGCCCGGCACCGTTGTTGCCGGTGGCCGTAGCGGCCGCAACGGGTTCGGCGAGCACCTATGGGACGAGGCGTTCCTCGGGTTGTTGTTGGCAGCGGTGCGGGAGTTCGCCCCCGTCAGGCGTTATTTACTTGCATCCGGTAGTGGTTGCGAAAGTGGCGGCTGGTCTGGAACAGCGGAGTCAGAGCTCGCGCTCGCGGCGGGATCCCCTGCCCCGGGACACCTCTCCCGGAGTCGGAAGAGAGCAACAGCGGGGGCCGTTGTCGCGCCGAACGCCCTGCCGGCCGTTCTCCGGCGCCTGTACCACCCCCGGCCGTCGGTCCGGCGTTTGGCCGGCTCGGTCGCCGTCCGCCTTGCCTTCGACTCTCCGTCCTTCTTCTCCCCCTTGGAGTGCACCGTAGAGAGCCCCCCCTCTTCGCGTGTGGGGCAGGATAGCGATCACGAGCGCGGCGGTGGCGGCCGCTGCCGTGTTGGCGGGGTCGCGAGCCTAGGAGGAGGGTTCTCGGTCCCGATGATGGTTCTCGAGGCGTTTCCTCGCCTGGCGGAGCTGACGAGAGAAGGGACCAGCAGCGGTGGCGATGGGAGCGAGAACATGGAAGGCGATTCTTCACCCCCCCGCCGCAACGATAACCGCAACAACCCCAGCAGCAGCGGTAGACGCCGGCACGAAGCCTTCCAGACCCTCGTCGCGAGCGAGTGGACTCTCCTTATCGCAGACACCGCCGCCGACGACCCCTCCTCGAAGAAGTCGGGCGAGAGGCGCCATCGCTCTGCGGTCGCTTCGCAGGTAGCGGAGGCGTTACGGGAGGCGGGGAGGCGTACGGAGTTCGAGGCGGCGATGCTGAGGGCGCGGGCGTGGATGCTGGCTGGCTTCGGGTATGTAGGGCGTTTGACGCGCGCACCCATTTGTTGATTAACTTGATGCTGGTTCTCTCAAGGCTGTGACGGTGCCGCCGTTGTGACCGTTGGGGGGCAGGGGGAGGGGTTCACTCTCTTCTGTCTACTGTTCAGTTTTATTTATCTTCTCGCCATGCCTGCCTTCTGTCGATTGCTCTAAATGATATACGGGACTCGCTCTCGTGCGGGTCGCTGTTGGACCGCTGCCGCCGCTCTTGCAGGCTGGCTCGGTTATTTTTTCGTTCGGTCCTGTGTTTTTGTTTCCCCGATGTCTCGGCGCTTCATACTCTCGCTGCCCTCTACGGGCTTGCCGCTGCGTTGTCATCTTTCCGTGGCCGCACAGCTACTCGGAAGCCTTGTTCGGACCAGACGGCGGGTGGGAGGCCGCCTTGGAAAGGTTCTTACGAGCCCCTCCTAACGGCACGAAGGACAGGGCGGCAATGCGGGACGTTACCAGCCTTCTCGTCGCGGGGACGGATCACATGTGTCCCCGGGGTTTCCAAGTTCTTGCGGACGCAGCGGAGGTGAGGTGTTCCACGGTTCACCGCGCAACACTTCTTTCTGCGGAGATTGGTTTTTGCCTGGTATCGTTGGGGATCTGGAACGGCTGTGAACACCCGCGAAGGGATGACAGGCATTCCCGCGCGTTGCCTTGAAGACGATGTGTCGGCGTCTGAATACCAGCGTTGTTGCGCATTCGATGGTGCACACACGCCTTCAATGTGTTGCTGTTGAGCTGTATACCCGCCAATCGCTCCCGCGTGCCTCAAGCATGTGAGCCATTTTCGTCGTGAAATTCCTTGGACAGGAGTGCTTCGTGCCCATCCTATCCGAGACGAATCGGAGGCCTACCACCGTTCTCGGCGATTACCTGGGCGACTGGAAGGCGCCTTCGAGCAGCAAGGGCTCCGCGAGAGATCTCAAGGTGGGTGGTTCACGCGGAAAAGTAGTACATGGCACATTGAGTCTGACACGTTTTGGCAAATGTGCAGTGTTGACAGATTTTGAAGGCGCTATCTCGCGTTGAAGGAGTTCCAGTCACTCTATGGGCTTTTTTTTTGGTCCGCTCCCTAGCCCAAGATGGAGGAGCCTTCTTCTTGCAGTGCTATTTTTTGTGATGGTATGCTCGTCATCTTGAGCAAGAAAAAAATGGCACCTGCGCCCCTCTAGAGCACTGTTCTGTTCTGTGTCCTCTCCGCGCCCAGGCGACATGCCGTCTCCGATGGTCGACTGCATTGTACTCCTTCCGCACAACCGCTTCAAAACAACTTTACCCCCCCTCTGCCCCGTCCTCTCGAGGACGTATGGTCGACAGTCTTAAACACTAAGGCATGCTAAACATGAGCACTTCCCCCCCCCATCCTCTCGAGGACGTGTAGTCAATAGTCTATCAACTTTCTAAGCATGGAAAACATGTCGAACCCCCCCCCCCCTTCAA